TTTTGAAATTTGTAGTCTACCTATGCTGTAATTGTTAAGGGATTCCGAATTATAAACATAATATAAAGGTGCCACGATTCATTAAAGATTCTTGTTCATAGTGTTTTTATATATCAAATCTATTTTCATTGTCATCAAATCTTTAAACAACAGTTTTCTTTGTTTTAAACCTAAGTTCCGGATGATTAAAGACGAGATCTATAAGCAAATAATATTCAGCTGTCATTTTATCTAATAGTTTACGATATATTAATTCATTCACTTGTCATTTATCAAACTTTTATATTAATCTAGTGTTTTCATTGATTCAGTCGGGACATCAGGCTTCTATTTCATTGGTCGTCCAGGGACCAGTTTCTGCTGACAAGATTTACGGAATCCCCGACGTGTCATTAATTGGCCGTTAGGAATTTGCCTCATTATTGTTATTTAGATGTTGGCTCTGTTACACATCAATATTTTACAATTTCGACTCGCTTCACTTGATTACCACGCGACACAGCATGTTGAAATCTGAACAATCATTAGGTCATATTCATTCTTGCATACCGTAACATATCAACTTACTGAATCGATTCTACATCATCTTCTACTACAACTTGATTGGTGGTTCCAGTTCTCACAGTTCAAATAAAACAACATTTCTTACAAAACTTATAATATTGTTTCCAACAACTAGTGTTACAAGACCATTGATCTTACCGCTTTCAAAAACTTTTATTGAAAATTATCAACATGCCAAAGTCATTCATGATTCAGAAATGGAGAGGAAGAAAGAATAATTATGTTTATGGAAGAAATGAAGATACTAATTCACCTTCTGAAATAAAAAACAGAAATATGATAGGTAAGTTTTTAACTTATTGGTCCTTTGAATTTTTACTTTTTAAGTTTTGTAGTTTAATAAATATTTTCAAGCTTCATTCATAAAGCATTTTTAAAATAAGCAAAAATTTTAAAACTTTACTTCAACTCTCAGAGGATTCTAAGAATTCTGTTTGAATTCAAAACTTTAAATTTAACCCTTCCCGTTCCTAGGACGTGATATAATATATTATGGCTAATCCATTCCGTATATCACGTCCGCGGAGAGGAAAAGGCCAGATTTTTCAGTTAAATTTTAATATTTATCGATATTATTACGTAATAATGAATTAATAGACGGGGTACGGTGGTGCTCATTTGTCAATATTATAGAAAACAAGAGAAATCAATCGTATCCTCATTATGACTGGAACCTGCTGTATCGAAAAAATCAAAAATCAAAAATTAAAAGTTTTAGTTGTGTGCATTATTTTTATTTTATTATTTAATAAAATCAATTATTTATTCGAGAAAAATAATGTGAATAAAGAAAGAAAAATTTATCTCAAACCAAATTATTTTTCGTATGATGGCGTATAATTCAATTTGTTTCAAAAATATATACTCTGTCTCATTTATACAGGTACAATGTAAAAGCTTTAAAAATATCTGCCTTATTTTTAAAAATCATAATTAAAGGAATACTACCTCTTAAAATGGACATAAACGGCTGGATTTTTTTAATTAAAACTTTCAGATACGTTATGGGATACATTTCTATAGATTTTGGTTTATAGTTTTCCTGAATTCGAGCACAAAAAATATTTCGACCTACAAAAAAGCGGAATGTCCCTTTAAGAAATTTACTTTTGTTTCCCTTTGATTTCTGTAACTTATCAATTAACTTAAAGGACATCTTTACAATTTTTCACTTATTACGAACTTCGTCTTATACCCTGACTCTAATTGCCACCTGTATTGTACTACTACATCTTTTTATAAATAGAAAGAAACACACGATGTTGAGATGTAGTAAGTAGATATAATTGATGCTGTGATTCTATCAGAAACTGTTTGTTTATTTCTTATTAAATTATTCAGTTGATTGTAGAACATGAATCAAGTTGATACGAGATATTTCTCTGAGACTTTGATTTTCTTATTGTTTGATAGAATATAATATTCAGTTATTATATTCTCCTATTACTATAGCTTTTATATTAATATTGCATTGAAAAATATCTTTCACTAGTCACTTTCAGCTTGATTTCCATTTTATCAAATTTCCACTTAGTCACAGGCAATTATACTCACAATAAAGCGTCAAGTAAAAATAGTTTTGAAAAGATATTCTGGTAACAGCAGTTCCATTGATAATTATACATCATTTTATATCTAAAAGATAATTAACTTGTATCTATATTAAAACTGATATACAGAATATTTATTGAAAAAATTTAATCTTACACATAATTTGATAGTTAAATGATCCATCATTCATATCACGGTCTGTAATACTGTTTTAATATAAAATCATATTGATAAGCATGTATATATTAAGTTCTATTGTGATATTCAAATATGTCTATAAACCCGCCCTATCTTTTGAAGCTTCATTTACTACACATTGACATTTGCATTAAGAGACATGTTCACAATCCAGAAGCCCACACAATTAATGTGGCCCTCATTGATCGTTCATAATGGAAATGACTGCATGACAAGAGATTAAGAGCTTTCTGCTCATTCCAAGATCATTTATAGACTTCAACGATAAGACTTGATACAAGATATAGCCTACTGTATTACATGATCGTTCATAAGCTCAGGATATATTTTGAGTATTTAAAGATATCTGTTGATTGAACCCTAATATTTTTCGCAATAAAATTACAATTTATACGCGGGTCACACGAGCAAAAGTTCCGTTTCATTTGCTTTTTGCGTCTAATAATAAATCAATATAGTCAATCGAATCAATTTCAGTTCTACACATGTCAATCACATTCTCAAAATATACAAAACAGTATGTTTCTATACTGTACTTATATTTTCATTCCGTCTCAATACTGTTTATTGTCATGTTACTGTTCTTATTATCTGATTCTACTCTTGTTTCAACCATCAATGCTACATTTACATCTATCAAATTTCATTATATCCTGATGTTGTACTTAAATTTCATTATATTCTGATGCTGTACTTAAATTTTATTATATCATGATGCTGTACTTAAATATCCTGATGCTGTAATAAAATTTCATTCTATCCTGAAATTGTACTAAGATATCAAAATAACTTTACAATGTACTTGCATCCGGTTCGGAGAATCAACATAGTCAATATCGCTTTTTTGTGTATCTATTTCATTTAATCTTGATATTTAAATATCATTTTACATGGATACTGTACTTACATTCCATTATATCTTGATACTGTACTATTCTATATCGGTATTGTACGTATATTTCATTCAATTTCGATAAAATTGGCTTCTTATATATAGTTTTATCTTGTAACTGTTCTTCAATATCTTGACATAATGCTTAAAATATCATTGTATCATTATTCTATCATTCTATTTTGATACTTTAATTATCTTCAATCGTATCTTAATATTGTACTTATAATTCATTCTACCTTGATCTTTTTAAAATTCTTCCTATATTTTCTATCTATTTTTTTTTTGTGCAATCCTTGTTGTGCAAATGCACTATAATCGATAACTACGGATGCAATATATAATATCATAGTTTGAGATACAATGTGTGAAATCTTGTAATCGTAAAAAGATTTTTTCTCTTTCTAGAAGGCAAAGAAACACCATTATCACCCATTGCTGTAAAACCGACGAATGATAAGTTCATTTCGCAGTTTTATGGTTTAGGAGGCGACAGGGTTTCTACACTCAATGGTAATTATTTCATATTTAACACATTTCAACTCATTCATATCTTTAATAGTATTATCCTGGTCCTTATTAACACCAATATTTTATAAATCTGCAGAATATATGATTAGTCCTCCTTAAATACTTGATTAAAAAAAATCATTGCTTTCAATCTACCAATAAGTACTTCTCAGTCTTCATATATTTTCTAAAAAACAGATAGCGTCTTTTAAAGCTACTGTTTTTGTTCTAAATAATTTTTTTAGTATAATTTACAGTTTCAAACTTCAAAATGAAAATTTTTTTGAAGAGGTATAGCTTGGTTCACAAACTAGACATTTGGCAGCATCCTCTTTGACTTAAAATAGCCCAATCCCAATAAATACTTATTTGATAATCTTCTTGATATTTCTTAGATAAACTTTGAATAAGTTATTTAAATACATTAATCATTGTTAATGTCCTCAAATGTAGCCTATATAATATGATATTTATGCAATTCACAAAAGGAGTAAAGAATTATAGTATCTAGGAAAAGAAATGCCGTATAAAATACTGTGTGATTAAAAAAGAGAAATATGATTAAGAAACGAAAAACAAAGTCTCTGGGGTGTGACACTGGATGTTAATATAAGCTCCATTCTCTAAAATAAGTTAAGAGGAAAATTAGAAATCGCTTGATTTAGCAGGGATTTCACGTGATTGAGCAAAATACTGTGTAATTTATTAGATTGGTGATTGTCGACAATTTGAGTCCAAAGGGAACATTTGCAATTCTAACCCTTGATTTCCTTCATGATTAAGTCTTTACTTGTTTTCTAAAGAAAATTTCGAACCTACAAGATACAAGCATCTTAAAGGCCAAACATTTCTCTAGAATCATACCAGGTCAAGTTTTTCTTTCCAACTTCCAAAATACATTACCATTGATAAAAAGTAGTAAAACTATTAGATCTAATACACTTTTTTCGAAGTGTAAGGTATAATAAATATGCGTTACGATAGCAAAAAAAATAAACTAATGCAAAGTTATTCAAGTAACAAACTGATGTCATGTTATTTAAGTAACAGACTGATGCTATATTTTTGCAGTAACTAATTGTTCAATAACAAACTGATGCTTTGTTATTTAAGTAAGAATATGATGCCATATTATGGAAGTAACAAACTGATGATGTTTTATTTAAGTAGAAAACTGTTGCAATGTTATTGGAGTATCAGGTATTTTATTCAAGTAACAAACTGATGCTATATCATCAAAGTAAAAAATTGATGCTATATTATTTAAGCAACAGACTAGTGGTGCTATATTGTTTAAGTAAAATACTGTCGGTGCTATATTGTTTAAGTAAAATACTGTCGGTGCTATATTATTTAAGTAAAATACTGTCGGTGCTATATAATTCAAGTAAAATACTGTCGGTGCTATATTGTTTAAGTAAAATACTGTCGGTGCTATATAATTCAAGTAAAATACTGTCGGTGCTATATTGTTTAAGTAAAATACTGTCGGTGCTATATTATTTAAGTAAAATACTGTCGGTGCTATAGAAATTAAAGTAAAATACTGTCGGTGCTATATTGTTTAAGTAAAATACTGTCGGTGCTATATGATTCAAGTAAAATACTGTCGGTGCTATATAATTCAAGTAAAATACTGTCGGTGCTATATTGTTTAAGTAAAATACTGTCGGTGCTATATAATTCAAGTAAAATACTGTCGGTGCTATATAATTCAAGTAAAATACTGTCGGTGCTATATTGTTTAAGTAAAATACTGTCGGTGCTATATAATTCAAGTAACGAACATCTATCAATATCGAGCCTAGTTTCTACCACAATGGAATAATCAACAGGTTAATGACTGTAAAAATCATTCTAAGACAAATCATCAATTATAGATGATGAAAAATCAAACTGATGTCAATGATAGAAAAAACATAGTCGTCATTGTGATTTTCTTTAGATTTAAATAATATAGTGTGATCATTCCCATAGGTCAGATTTATAGCGTCTTGTATAGTCCAATTCTACTAAACATTGACGACTTCGACCAATTAATAGAGCACGGCCATTGTCACTGAAATTCCTCATTTGGAATTAATATGATAAACATCTCTTTTTGACGCCGTAAAAAAGGAGTGATGTTTAACTAAGTGGAAACCTGGTTATCACTTTCAGTCCCATACGTGGTTTTGCTTCCGCAGAGAGAACATCTGAATATTTTATAAACCAAGCACCAACTGATAAATCGGTCCAAAAACCAAAATCTACAGTCATTGACCAACAAAATGTTTACAATGAAAGGATCGTGTAGAGTACAAAATTAGATATTAAAATAAAATATGTTTAGGTGTAAGTGCGAGGGAGTTGGACGAATGTAGTCATTCTGGCTTTTTCAAAATTTAATTCGGTACAGATTCAGGACCTGATATTATAATTTTTATGGTGCGTGGAATTTCTTTTCTGATTTTGCATATGTTTGATGCTTGCACACAATTAGTAGCTCTTATGTGGCATCGTAAGATCCATATTGAGAAAATTTGCCCGGAAAATTGTTACTTATGATGTGTTTAGCAATGGGCGCAAAGGATGACGCATAATCTGAATTAGCTTTCTCTATAATGAGATGGTATGCTTGATCAAATTTTATGCAGGATATCAAAAGCTGTCCTTTGGAACTCAAAATGTCTATCTGATGGTTTCAAGTTCTGATCTGTAGCTGAAATGAGACTCTTGTGTTTAATGTATGTGATGTGGTAGCGATATTTGCCTCTCATCTTTCCTTTCTTTTAAAAATCAACTAGGGATTTCAATCAATTCACCACCACTCGTCTCTTTTATCTCTGTTTTTTTCTGTCTTTTGTCCGCCAAACATTTGAGAATGTCTAATTACCCTGTTTGATGATAAGATCTTTATTGAATGCACAACTATAACATTACAACCAGTCCAATGGGCTTTTTTTCTGATTTCAAGTATTTAAAATTTTATCAGACACTATCCTTAGAGGATTTAACATTGACTTGATTTCATTTGTTGTTTAGGTTCTGTTTTCTAAACTGATAGAAATCATTATGGAGTTCGATGGTGGCAGACATTCACTTTGGATTTCGAAACAGATTCACGTCGTTCTGTGAACTAATGATTACTTATCAATTTCAATTGAAGTTAAAATTTCAACCATTCTAAACATTGTAATGGCATAGGTTTCCATTCACGAAGCTATCCATAGGGATTTTTAATTCACCACCAATTCAATATTAGTCTAAATTCGCTGTCAGCAATTAGTATGGATCATGACGTAATATCATTACATAAAGGATTACTAATGGGAATGTGATTATATATACGTAGATATCCTTTCGCGGACTCAAAATTAATTCTTATTGCTTGCGATCGAAATTGTATATTTGTATCCAGATTGTAAGATAACGTATTTATTTTGAAAAAGAAGTATATTATTTTGAAATCAGTATACTATTGATTCTCAGACGGTATTGACTAAAACAAAAAAGTCACAGCCAAAAATATCAACAATTTTAAACCAACTTAACACACAATTTAAATCTCTTAAGTTTCTTTATTTTTTTTACTGTAACATTAATGACTTCATCCAGAAATTCTCTATAAAACTCATTCTGGTTCTATTTCTTCTAATACATTATTAGATAAACTCCTCACAATCTACCGCCGTTTTAACATTCACGGTCTACAGGGGTGTTATACTTACGATCGATTTCAGCAAAAAAAATAACTAAGAAAGAAAGAAAATGAGCCCCTATATTTTAGCTCTGTGAATCTGTCTGGTACAAGGTGTTAAGTCAATAAAGCAGTTAACTGATTTATCTTTTGGTTTTGCTGTTCCCTTTCGCATCACCGAGCTTACGTTTTAAATATTTATAGGTAACCCAAGGGAGATCATCGTCTTAGGAGCTGGTGAATTAAACACCATTGTAAATCTGCCTTTGGGGTATTCTTCCGTCGTAATGAGTTTTTGCATTTTAAATCAACGTCTCTGTAACAGATGTAAAACGCGTTAAAGTTTAAACATTGTCCCAAATGAATGCATGAAATATGAGAGATGTAAAGGACGACTGTAACATTGGAGTAATTAGCTAGTTCCTTTGATAATTATCTAACTACCAATCTGGAAAGATTGATATCACTACAAATGCATCAATTCTATTCAAATAATTAAAGTTTTACGCTCAGAAACCAATTTTATACATTCGTCAATCGGCTTCTATTGTATTGAAGATTTTTTAATTGTTTTTAAGTAGTTTTTATGTGCCATCGTATTCTAGATCCTATGAAATATAGTTTCGTATAAGATGATATATCTATTTCTGAACACTGCCAGCAATTAACAGATCGATTATTATATACTTTCAGAATTGAATATGCAAATACCACTCCTGTGTCAGCGAATGAAGAACAATAACTATGTACGAGAAATGTTGGGTGATTTCCTCTCCTGGCTTACTCTAGAACCAGACGACCAACAGAAGAACCACAATTTACCAGGATCACCCTTTCCAATGTCTGTAGCATGTCCTTGTTCTAAATGTATGACCAAAGTTACAAATAAAGACAGCTACCCTTCCCCACCAGCGTCTTCATCTTCAAACAGCCCAGACGACGAATTTGTACCAGAGGACATTCGCATTAACCATACTAATAGCACAAATGTTGATGATGATTTGCTGTTTCGTGGTGAAAGAGACTTTATATGCAAAGAATGTGGTAAATGTTTTAAAAGATCGTCAACTCTATCAACTCATATGTTAATTCACAGTGATACCAGACCCTATCCTTGTCCATATTGTGGTAAACGATTTCATCAAAAATCAGACATGAAGAAACATACTTATGTCCACACAGGTAAGAATGACCGATATTAAGGGGAGATGGGCCTTGGGCAATCTGAAATCCGCCGGCTTCTGGGGAGCCCCTGACAGTCCACGAGAGAAACCCCCCCCCCCCCCCCCATCCCCCTCAGGAATTTTCTAGATGCGCCCCTGGTAGTATGTGCATCTTGAAGTTGACAATGCTCGGCGAATCTGTAGATTGGATATCCCTTCCCGGCATTCCCCGTCCTCAAAAAGGAGAATGTTGATGATAGAAAGGCAAATGATTAATAATAGTTTGTTTTATTCGGTTGAACTTTTCAATTTCAGGCGAAAAACCGCATAAATGTACAATCTGTGGTAAAGCTTTCAGCCAATCATCAAATCTTATTACACATAGTAGGAAGCATTCGGGTTACAAACCATTCTCGTGTTCACAATGCTCCAGAACATTTCAACGTAAAGTTGATCTACGTCGACATCATGAAGTGAGCAACCACCATTGATTGGTTGATATGCAATTTGGACAATATTTCTGTGCTATGTATTTATTTTGTTGATGATAAAGGTACATATACTTGTTTCGTTTAACTTTAATATTATTTAAAATGTTATTACATGTATTCTTAGTATGTGATGGAGGTGTACATCCTTGGATTTGTTATATAACTGATACTATACAATGTAGTAACATGACATATATTATAATATAGATATTATGTCTTTAGGAGGCAATATACAACATCAAACAGTCTACCGTGAAACTTTCTCTGGCACTCTGCAACAGATTCAGCAATACGGAAACTGCTAGCGATTGTCAAAAGACACAGCATGTTATCAGTTCCTTCGAACTCAATATGAGCTTTAAGCAACTTAATCTCACCCCAAATCGCCAACAGTCGTTGAAAACACAGTTGTAGTTGGATTCTGATTCAAAAGTCGCCTTTTTTGAGTAGCATTGTAGTTATCGAACAAGATTTATAAAGTATCTACATGTAATTGGTCATCGTTAGAGATTGCTTTACATAAAATTGCTAAATTCAAGGGAGTTTCTTCTGTATGTAGATAACTCTCTGAAGAACCAGTGCTCTAACTCTTCCAGTCCCAAGTGACAAATGATATGCAAGACTTTCCAATCTGTAATTCATTATATTCATTAAAAACCTCCTAAATAGTTTCTAGGTCAACTAAATTACCTTAATTAAACTTTATGTGTCTGATTCTTAATTATTATTATTCTTTACGATTTCAACTTTCTAATTACACCGCTTTATTTCATTTTACGATGTCTAATGTTTCGCTCCCTTTAGTGATTTTTTTCGTCGCAAGGGAAATCTGCCTTTTAATTTCATTTCTGAAGATGAAAATTGAGGGCTTATTATAGGAATTGTGTTAAAAATACAGACACATTGAGTACCTTGGAGGGAATTGAAAACAGTGTAGCATGTTTTTATTATAAGATGGGGTCCTCCAACGGTGGAAATGTGGTTTTTATGCCAATTTATAGCACAATTTTAGCAATTATAATGATATTTTATTATAAACCTTTTATTTTTTTATTTCCCTGATTTCTATCAGTTTATATTATGTGTACTAAGTCTTATTAGAGGTTTTTTGTTATATCTTGACATAAGTGTATGAATTATTAGCAAATACAGGTATAAGACAAGTATGAAAACTAACGGTTCAAATTCTAGTAATCCACGAAACTAGGATTTTGAACCAGTCTCTGACAGCTGACATTTGTCGAAGGATATCGCCTTTTGGGTGGTCCAGCAATATCAACCATCAAAATTAACGAACATAAATTCTATGCAGAAAAAACTAACCATCTCTTCAAATATTAATATTCTATAATATGTCTACTGAAATTTTTATCTGTGTATTTCTTATGTTGGAAATATATCTTGTATCATAAAATCTTTTATTGTTATTTATATATTAAGCTATGCACAATATATTTATACTGCCTCAAATAAACTGTAAATAATATTCTTGTTATTTTAAGTTCTGGCCTGCATGGAAATGAAATCAGATTATTTCGTTCTCTTGGAGCGATAATAAGTTAGTAACATGACCTTCGAATTTGATCATATAAAACTGTAATTGTAGCAAGCAGAGTACACAATCTTCTCGCTAATTGCATACGTCAATTTCGTATGAAAACGTCCAATACAATGATGTATTTGTTGCCAGAAAATATTCCTTTTGAAACCACAATATCTCAGTATGGTGGGACTTTATCGATCGAGGTTATCGATTTCTATGCGCCAACAAATATATTTTGGGTGTATATTGTTATCACATTTGGCTCGTGCTCACTCTATGGGCAACAATTCATTATTTTGTGGGTCAGTGTCATTAGGAGGATGATCCCTATCGATTTTCGTGATGATCTGATAATTTTGCACCGAAATAATGTGTCTGACTTATAGCGTTTTCACCCTATTAGCTATAATGGGCAATTCGTACTCACTCTACAGGCAACAATTCTATACAGATTATTTTTATTTTGTGGGTCAATGTAATTAGGAGGATGATCCCTAACGATTTTCGTGATAATCTGATCATTTCTCCCTGAAATATCGTGTCCGACTTAATGTTTTGCAGTTTCATAATTGTTTATCTTTCAGATACATATAAGGTCTAATAATATAAATGCCGAAAACAATAATACATGCAACAATCTACTATGTGCAAGAATCAAGACATGCGTTAAAAACTAGCCACGGTGCGAGCATGTTACTGTTCGTCAGATTTAGATATTCCATCAATTCGGTTTGGAAATTTTACTAAAGACAATACTGGCATAACCTATTCCAATGCAATTTTCAACTTCCGACTGAGTTTGTGATGGTTGTGTGGGTCCAAACACTTGGCGCTTGCGTGGACTGATGCTGTACGGCCTTGAAGGAGCAAGATGCTTCATTACATCAACAATATAATCTGTAAAATCCTGCATATATATCGATATACGAGTAGATATACCCGAGATAACATCATATATTTATTATATACTAATAGTAAAATATGTGTAAGTGATATCAAAATAATGTCAACAAATCTATTTATATGGTATATTATAATATAACTTTTACAAACATTGGACGTGTCTTATCCTATTCTTCTAGTTAATATATTCTTAAATTTAACTTGTGAACGCCTGAATCTTGTCATAATTCAATATGGCCGCGGATGCTATTTGTACGAAAATTAGTGCAACGGCAAATTTGCACTGGGCAGATATTTTGACCATTACACTGTATTTTGTTGTGGTTTTTGTAGTAGGATTACTAGTAAGTATTATCTTATCAACGACATATTTTACAGATATTGTCTTTGCGTAAATGTGTGTTACGTCGTTTAATATGTAATCTATTACCCTAACTAAGATGAATTTAATTCATGGATGCTTGTTTGACAGAAATACTAAAATAAAGAGTCTACAAACCTGCAAGAATGTTATATCTGATCCACCTGTCTGAATGTGTTCAGGAGGTAGACAAGAGCATTTAATTGGAAAAAGTGGTCGTTGCCAAATTTATTTATCCACCTTCAAGTTCATACTTAATAATCAACTTAATTTTGTCGTTTGTTCCAGGCTACCTTCAGAGCAAGTCGTAACCAAGATGCCAGTGGGTATTTTTTGGCGGGAAAATCTATGACGTTTTTTCCGGTAATATTTATACAATTTATTATAAAGTTATATAAGGCGATGCATTTTGTTTTGTTCTGCCTTATTGAGTTTCAGTGATCTGGTTAACTTATCACTCAATTCAACTGCATATATTCAATACCAACCTTATCTGTTGAAGTTTTCTTTTAAAGATCGGTTTTATCCCGGGAATAGTTTGAAGTAAATAAATCTATATAAAAGGATTGCGACAATCAAAAAACAATATAAAATATACATCTTACAAACTCTTGACTTGTCCTGGTGGAATAGCAAAACAAAAAACACAAAAGACTAAGTATGCATCATGAGGACTAGCTAAAAAACTTATTGAATAACACAGAATCGTTTAAATCCTTTGTTGGCCTTCCATAGAAATAGTAAAGGTAAACAGAAACGGTATTATAACTTTTGATGCTGGTGATGTTAAAAATTCTCTTTGATTGAACATAAGATATGAAATAAACAGGATATATTATTATAAAATCTTCAAAAGAGCCATTGACCATGAACTTCTTCATAAGATTTTCAGATATCTTGTACCTTTGCTCATCAAAACAACAACCAAATATGTCACTTTCAGTTATACAATTTCAATTGCGTGTTTCGCAGTTGGCGGGCATCAGCACTGAAAACAGGGGTACAGTTTCTAATAATCGGGAATTTCCAGACTGGAGGGACATCTTTTCAAATCTTTTAATGTATTCTATTGTTAAAGACAATAATATTGATATTTTAAAGATAGGTGCCAGTATATTTGCCAGTAATATTGGAGCACCAGTTTTTGTTGGTTTATCTGGTACTGCTGCAGCTTCTGGTATTGGTGGTATGATATTCGAATGGCATGTAAGTTACATAATACTTCATACACGTATTATATGATCATTGTCCGATTCGGCGTTAAGTATTATTTCTATATTATAGTACGTACATCTAAAAATTATATATATATTTAGTATTATGCTTCAAAGTGGCAACATCCCCATACGCGTTTAAGCTTTGAAATCATTTCTCTAACTTTTGGCAAGCCTCAACAAAATCTAGACAGAATTATAATTCATCCATTATAGAAGACATTTTAGCTTTATTTTTTTTCTATTTATAGGCTATACCATTTATACTGATGTTAGCATGGATTTTTGTTCCTGTTTTCACGGCCTCTGGGGTAAGAATATTTGATATTCAAAAGAAACGTGACAATAGATTTCTATATCAAATTATTGTATATGTCAGTGATGTTTCCCAAATCTATTTCATAAATAATTACTTATAATAAGTACAAGTACCTCAGGTGAAAGATTGTGTTGTTCGGTAGTGAAAAATCTAATTTCTTTTGACTGAAAACCGTGCAGGCTAAAATAGTATATATATTGTGGTTCCTCGTTTCTGTAATGCAAAGGGAAGTAACTGTTGTAGAAATGGGTGAATATAGATTGATAGGTTTATAGCTTTCTTACCTCGTTAGACCATTTCTGGGTCGATCAAACTAGTTTTAGAATTCAATTAACTTCTTGCTAGAAGCAAAATTAGTGACATAATACTGTAAAACGTTTAATTTATTAGGTATATACCATGCCCGAGTATTTAAAGAAACGTTATGGTGGAACAAGATTAAGAGTATATTTATCTGTTTTATCAATTGTACTATATATCATTACCAAAATATCGGTAAGTACTGGACATTAGGGCTCCAATTAGATTGGAAAAAAATTGATTAGCAAATAGTCACGACAGTTTTTAAGCTAAGAAGTATAGTACATGTACAACAATAAATTCGCGAGAATGGGGACAGGAGAGAAGAGCATGCAGAGGGAAGTGGTGAGAGACAGGGTCAATGGTGGCGCCCCGGAGGGGGTACACACAGCTGCCGCATTGTGACTCTCTTAGTCAAATCATAGATAGTCATAGATAAGATATGGGAAAATGCAGGCAAATATCGAGTAAGAGTTCGTAGGAGAGGACAGTGTAGTGGGAAGATGGAGACAACTCTTCATAGGATCTATGGGGGTATTCTCTTATTTTGAGTGACACATACAGTGTGCCTCCAATCTATGCTGCGAATTACTGTACATGTACTCACCGTCTATTATTTCTCATTTGATGTTGTTAACTTCACTAAGTCTTACGAAGAACGTGATGGATGCGCAGATCGTTGTGAGAGATTTTAATTTTGGCTGATCATATTATTGGATAGCTTAAAGAGTTATTTTGACTCGTAAATTACGGTGGTACTGCCTAAATTGAATCCTATGTAGCATAGTACCATTTTCCCAAACAAGATTAATTTCACCTTTATCTTGGAAATTATTTAAAATGATAAGTTAAGGCGCAGAAAATATTGATTTTTTTGTTCGTATGCTCATCTCAAGGAAAATATCTCTTAAATAAGTTGAGGTTGCCCGCTCAATACTTCGAAATTTGATGACTCAGTCTGAGTGGATTAACGTGCCATTTCTTAGAGGCTAATAAGAGTACGATTACTAATAATCTCTTCACATTAGCAGATAGTAAGAGGTCTATCAGAAATACATTTTGATATACAATATTGTTAATAATATATCTGATTAATAGGTAGAGATGTATGCTGGTGCTGTATTTGTTCAAATGTTATTAGGTTGGAGTATGTATGCTTCTGGTATCCTCGTTCTGGTTTTCTCTGCTGCTTTTACTATGACTGGTAATGAACTATAATGCGTTATTATATTGTTATAATATTAATGATGTGGTCAACAAAATTTGAGTGGCATCATTTTCCAGAAATAAAATCCGACCTGCAATTCCTCTACAACTCAATGTCCTCCCATATAAAAAACATTATAAACCCTAAGTTTCTAGATTCGTTTTTTATTAATTCTAGTAGGGGTTAAGTACAACTGAATATGAGCTCTACCTCATTAAGAGCGACATAAAGCATAAAGTAAGGTTTAGCATTTTTTAAAGCGTTCTTCATACACTATATGAATGAGATCTCTTGCATATCTGAACGGAAAATTACAAAAATTTGTTTTAAATCCTACGTTTTGATATGCCTCATACGTCTGGACTTTTCACATTATTTTACAGGAGGATTAACAGCTGTAATATTTACAGATACTCTACAGACAATAGTATTAACAGTTGGTGCTCTAGTTCTGTTATTTACAGGTAAATACTAAGCAGTTGCAACAGAAATATTCTAGAACCATTATCTTATTTCAACACTTACCTTCTGTGTGCTTAAGGATTGAATCACCTAATGGCTTACCTTCAACACAATTAACAATTGAAATTTGAAAATATTATGAAAATTTCATCTGTGTAAAATTTGTAATTGTTTCTTAGTTTTTATCGACGTGAGTTATCATTTCTACTATCCAAGGTTTGAGTGAAATTGGTGGATATGATTATTTACAAAGTAAATACATGCAAGCTGTACCTAATACAACATTGTATGGTAATACAACTTGTGGTGTTCCTAGACCAGATTCATTCAGTGTTCTCAGAGATCCTCTAACATCCGACTACCCGTGGCCTGGTACTCTTATATTTAATATACCTAGTGATATCTGGTTCTGGTGTTCTGATCAGGTGAGTGTTGACAGCTGATATGATACAGATTATACGTGTGTACTGGATAAGCACATTAAATTTATCAAATGACACGCTCTGAAAAGTAACTATCGACTGGAATTGTACTTTTGGCATCTTATCAGAGTAAATAGCACGCCGTCCAGGGAAATAGTAAAATGTTATTTAAATATTACCAGCTCCCATATTCCTTTTGGGATAAGGTCGTGCAACAAATGGACCATTTGCCAGTTGCCAGTCTGGGACTGGAATGACTGGCCAACCCTTGAAGAATGGAATGAGACGTGAGAACAAAGGAACTCTTGTGAATTTTGTTTTTTTTTTCGGTATAGATAATGGTACAGCGAAGTTTATCAGCTAAAAATCTATCACATGCTAAAGGCGGCTCTGTTGTAGCAAGTTATTTAAAGATTTTACCATTCTTTTTATTTGTAATACCGGGTATGATCGCTAGGATATTGTATCCAGGTAAGATCTTATTTGATGGTCGTACTTACATATATTTTGTACCCTTGCCAGATTTATGGCTCTGTTTATTCGAGTGCCATGGGTTCTAAAGGCACTCAGAGCATTAAATTGTGTGGACTTTTGTTTTTCCGCACATATGCGAAGCATCATCAGAATAGATTGTTTGGGCACAGGGATACTGGATAGATGCTACTAAAGCCAGAATAACCTTCCTCGCGTGGAAAATGGAGATATTTAGAAATAGAAGTTTTAATGAAATAGTTATATAAACTATTATTGAAATACATTACTATGGTATATGATTGTATTCCTATCGTATTTTGATTTAGATGAAATAGCCTGTGCAGATCCTGATATATGTTCATGTATTTGTGATAATCCTGCAGGCTGTTCGAATATAGCCTATCCTTTATTGGTATTGAGGATTCTGTCACCAGGTAGATAGCACGATGTTTTTCTGTAGAAACTCATCACATCAAATGTATTGATGGGTTCACAACTCAATTCTCCATTTAATAATGCGAAGTGTATGCATTTTCTGACCAATTCAATCCATTTTGCATTACGAAGCCTGTCTATGTATTTCATAGATTTGCTGATATATTTAGTTCGTGGAAGTCCTCGCGAAAAGAACCTTTTTATAGAAATATGTATTATCCAATCTAAAATACTCATTTTTGTTTCTGCTTACATGCCTAGTATTGTATTGTTATTACCAATTCTGCTTTCTAAAATTGTTTTTTTTTTTAGGTTTACGAGGTCTGATGTTAGCTGCACTATTTGCTGCTGTGATGAGTACCTTGACATCTGTATTTAACAGTGCCAGCTCTATCTTTACAATGGATCTATGGAGAAGATGTAGAAAGCATGCTAAAGACTGGGAACTGTTATTAGTTGGAAGGTGTGGAGAGATTGTATTTACAATTTCACTAAAATATATTAATATTATTGATGGAATCTATCATATATAGTATAATCAGTCTGATATTGTCCTTCCTCTTTGTAGATTAGTAGTTCTAGTTCTTGTAGGACTATCTATAGTATGGATACCTATCATGCAGGCAGCTCAAGGTGCCCAACTATGGCAGTATTGGCAAGGGATGATGAGTGCTGTTGGTCCGCCATGGGCAATGGTGTTTATCATGGGATTCTTTTGGAAAAGAACATCGGAACAGGTATTTCTATACACTCTAATTCTCTTTGTATATTGTTTAGTAACAGTCGATCTGGGTTGGCGGTTGTAGTCTCAATAGGATATACTCTTTATGTTTATAAATACTTTTTCGTAACAGCACTTAGCAATTTGGAAAAATGCATTTGAGGTATTCCTATACACTGTTATTCTCTTTGTATATCGCATAGTAATAGTCGATCTGGAATAATGGTTGTACAATATGATATTTGATATTTCATCTTTCCAAATGCTTTTTCGTAACAGCTTTGTAAAGGAACTATTAGACGGTTATTTTTCATATTTCATTTTCATATTTTCCCTATCAGCGCTAAAAATCTTTCTTTCCAGGGAGCATTTTATGGAATGTTAGCAGGACAAGCACTAGGTTTTGTCAGATTAATAATGTCCTTTGTTCTTCCTGCACCACCATGTGGTACTCCAGATGATCGACCATATTTTCTTAAAATACACTTCCTATATGTGGCTGCTATGGAAACAGCAGTAGCTGGTATTATTATGGTCATTGTCAGTTTGAGAACCAAAACCAGACCAAAATCTAAGGTAAGCATATGTAACAATAAACAATACAAAATTTGGAGGTATAAATTTTTCCTAATCGACCCGTTTGGTCCTGTAGCTTGTGACTGAAGTGAAACTGAAACTTGCATTATTATTTTCTTACCTCATCAATTAAGTTCATATAATCTTTTAACTATCTAAGTTACATCGTGTTACATGGTGGACAAGAAATGATGATGAAATGCCCGAATTAACTGATGATGAAGATGATAATGCCAATGAAGATTATAATCCTGTACAAATTAGGAAAGGTACGAAACTAATTGAATCAAATAAAAAAAACACTAGTAAATGTAGATTCTGATATCTTACAGAGTTTCTGTCATTGACCTTCGGTTCGAAACTCGTTGAGGTCAATATTGTGTGCAACTCTTAGTTAGTTTTTCTATCAGTACTAAGGAGAATTCGCATTAATTTGACAAAGCTCGGATTATCGGATCACCTCTGTCATCTAACACTGACCATGCCGATTGGCATGTTTAGGAGAGATGACTTCTGCTACAATAAACTCAAAGGATCTAGAGTCGACTGAACTATCTATAGAGGTATTTAAATCAGTTGATTCTTTTAATGAAACAACATGATGTCATATGTTTAGAACGCAGTGCTTGGGTAAGAAGACTCATGGTTTGTTGTGGTATGCCTGATGATAGACCTGTCAGAAGAAGTCCAGAAGAAATTAAAGCTATGCAAGAAAAAATGTTCTCGATCAAAGAAAGTCCGAAATGGAGATCCTTCCTGGATATAAATGGTGTCATTCTTATAGCTATTACTGCTTTTATCATCGGTTTTTATCATTAAAATACAACTTGACTATAGTGTACTTTAGTTCTTTATGATACAATATTACTAGTAAGAATAAATTTTTTCTACGTTAGTTCTTGATAATGTATTATTGGGGACTAGAAAACTTAGTTTAAAAAAGCTTAAAGATTCACAGAACTTGTGTGCCAGCCCTACTGTGTCGATTGTAATTTGAGAGAAATGAGGTTGTAAAAGGAAAGGTTTCTGGGCTGTGTGTATATGCAAACTACCTGAATTCAAGTGCTCTGGAATTCTGAAAAGTTTCACAATCATCACTGCTAATTTTATTGAAAAAACTTTAAACATAAACACAAATATAACTTCTTCATATTAAAACAAGGCATCAATCACAAATGGATACTTTTTATGCAATAGAACTAATACATTTAACGAAAAACGGAAATATAAATTTAATTGTATGCGTTTGGTTGATTTGCCTTGCTTCTTTCTCTTAATGTGCTCATTTGAGTTGGTCGTCCTAGATTGTGAACAATAGAATCTTGTTCGGCTTTAGATACACTTTTTAAACCTAAATATCGTGGTGATGCTATGGAATGTTCCTCTATAGCAAGTTCTTCACTGGTTTTACCACTAGCTTCACTAGCCTTGGTTGGTTTACGGAGTCTGGTGACTAGTTCATCTATCTGCTCTGGGGGTAAACTACCAAATCCATGGGCTTTTGGTATGAAGCATTTATGGTCACTAACGTATTCTGATGTTCTAACTAACTCCTTTTTAGCTGGTAAGTTACTATTAGGTGATGGTCTTTTAAATTCTGAAAATAATGATAATAAATCTAAATCTGTCTAGCCTTTATGTTTCAATTGAGAACTATAGTTTGGTTTGTTTCAAAACTTTGTAGAACCATGACAATATTAACATATTAAAGTGAATAATTGGAAAACAGACCTCCATGTGGGTGCTTCGCTCTTACCAAGAAAAGTCTATGTCGCTCGTGAAAAAATCCTTCAAGAACTGTATCCAGAGCAGTATAGATTGGCTCAAATAAAAGGCGATCAAGAGAAAATCATACCTGTTGATTCTCTATATTGGGGTAAAGCTGATGATCCACTATAGATATGACGAATATTTTTATCTAATATATGTTGATGTGTCAAACTGAACGCCATTTTTATTTCTGAAAAAAAAATTATAAAATGATCTTCACATTGTGTCTAAATGAAAATACAAATCTTACTTTTGAGTGCCATTTTTTTGGTCATTTTGTGAAAACAGACATTCTGGGTTTAAACATCTTCACAATGGTCAAGTTATTAGGAACTGTTAAGACGAAATCTGTAATACCTAGTCCATTGTAAGATGGGCTCACAGGAAACGACATTTCCAAACTTTTCAAATACGTTGCATGGAAGATCACTTTCCCAATGTCCCCGATGTTTCCCATAGATGTGGGGTATAAGGGAAATATTTTATTGAAATAGTTTACTCACCTACGTTGAGAGACTATAGCTATATAGATATGGTGAGTCCTGTTTTAGCTATTCCTCAGATGAACTCTCTAAACTCTCTATATCAACAACTGAATAGAAATTAACACTGCATGTAATGATATACAGATTGTTTTCATGTCACTAGAGATTAGTATAATCCTTTTGTTGAATTAAGATTAGGATTATTACAATATTATATGATCGTTTTGAATCAAATAACTGTTAATCTGTCCATTGTATAATAATCAGTATATTTCACTTTCTAACAATTGACCTTGATTTTTACATAATGGTCGTGTTACGGTACCTGACTTTATGTAATTAATTGTTGCCCCGACAATCCTATCATTTTCGATCTGAAACAAACATTACTGCACGTTAACTTGTCAACTACTAACAAATCAACCAAACATTACCAGAAGTTAACTTGTCAACTAACAAACTAACCAAACATTACCAGACCTTAATTTGTCATCTACTAACAAACCAAACAAACATTACCAGACCTTAACTTGTCATCTACTAACAAACCAAACCAACATTACCAGACGTTAACTTGCCGTCTACTAACAAACCAAACATTATCAGACGTTAACATGTCATCTACTAACAAATCTGCCAAACATTACCAGACGTTAACTTGCCATCTACTAACAAATCAAACATTATCAGACGTTAACTTGCCATCTACTAACAAATCAAACATTATCAGACGTTAACTTCCATCTACTAAAAAATCAAACAAACAATACGAGACGTTAACTTGCCATTTACTAACAAACCAACCAAACATTATCAGACGTTTACTTGTCATCTACTAACAAACCAAACATTATAAGACGTTAACTTGCCATCTACTAACATACCAAACATTATCAGACTTAACTAATTATTAACGACCAGACTACTATGACATTGAATAGGCCTATCTCTTTGATGACCGACATCTGGTTTTGAACCACAGCGAAATCGTGCGATGCCATTTGTTGAACATAGAATAATAGTTGTCTGATAAGTTCATGAGGATGTTTTCCTTCCAGAAAAAAACAGATTATAAGAGCCAAGATTTCGGTGGGATGTAATTTTGTAATTATGTAGCTTGAGTGAGATTAAATTTTAACACATAGAACATATAGTTAAGCTACTTATACCTAACATCATCTGCCTCCCATGCCAATGAATAAGATACTACTGATTTGATGATCCTGTGTGGATAGGCTCAACTACCTCAGGGACAGATTGAACCAAGTCCACGTGCCCCTACCCCAGAAAAAAATACAAAATTTTAAAATTAGGACCAAGGGCAATATTATGTACTACAGACTGAAAACATTATCCGTTAACAGGCATTAGATTGAATTAACAGAGGGGCCTCAGAATGCAGGAGAGCATATGTTCAAAACTATTCCCAGAAGAGGGGCCTTCACCCACTTAAGCCCACGGGCCCCCTACTCATCTCATTTAGCCACTGTCAGTGTGTCATCACTGGAAGTACTTTCTGAAATTTTGACATCGTGTCTTCATTAGCCCACTTTAATATAAATGTATAAAGGGAAGTAATTAGCTACAAACAAACTACATATCGTTTAGATTAAGACCCAATCAAATGCTATCTGTTGGAGCTCACATCTTTATGTTTGATACAGTTCGAAAAGCGAAAACGTAATAATCAATCAAATTTGGACGCATTGGTCTTTCTGCATTCCGCACGACATCATTAGATTTGACTTAAAATGATTTTGACACGTAAGTCTATCAAACCTTTTCCAATTGCTCCAGAACATCAAAAAACAAACTCAAAATAAGTTTGACGTTAATGTCACGATTTAATTGTATGAAATATGAGCAGAAATAGTCATTACTCAGCTGAAATAAGTGTCGATACATTTTATAAAAGTTGATAACATCATTTATTTCGTTTAAACCAAATAATAAATAAATATGTTTACAATTGCGCCTTGGGGGCTCCGTAAGATGATAAAGTTATAATCGTTGGTAGTTGCTAAGGTTTTAGTACATTGACAAAATTAAAACGTGTTGGTTGTACAGCGTTCATAATCAGAATTATCACAATCAGCACATTCACTCAAAAAAGGTTTGCTTTATAAGAGAAAACTATTGGATTACCAAGTTACAAACCATGCACCCATTTCGAAGGAATATTCAGGTGGATTTTCAAATTTTGTACATCTGCACTATATCCCCGTCTGATAAAAGAGATCTGTCGTAATTTACAAGAGAAATTCCCTTCTGTTTTCAAAAATGATTTGTTAATAGTATATAAACGGACCAAAAATGTAAATGACCTTCTTGTCCATGGTAGATTGCCAAAATGAACAGTAAATTAAATTCTGATGTAAAAAAAAAAATGAAATATGCAGTGATATGAATAATACTATTTTTTATTGTTGACATATTTTCCCAATTTTATTTGATAAGAAATCAGTTATGTTTTACAATTCATTCTAATCTATGATCCCAAAAGGGAAACGTCACTGTGGTATCTGGTCATAAGCTTTGTTCAATATGAGAGGGCACTGGGTTAATCCATTAATAAATTATTATACGAAAAAAACAATTTATTTCCAACTATATAAAAGGATAGCTTGCCAGGCAAGGTAACATACGCCCATACTGGCAACTGTCAAAAATGATAAAACAGTCTTTAGTGACTAAATTACGAATTTTCTTATATTAAAGAAATTTTTATTAGTTTGAATTCAATGATACATATATTTACTGCCAGTTATTTAATATACTCTAATATCAAAGCCACAAACTGAAACTGAAGAGAAATTTCATTTCCTTTATCAACATAAATCATCACACAAAATTTTAAAAAACCAGATGAAAACTGTAGTCTTTATCGTATTTATGAACAAATTTTGAAGCATTTCACCTAAATCAAGGCTATAACCAATATAAATGATCACACCATATTTTATTTAAATCAGACGAATGCTAGTATCTTTTGTGCTCCTGATCAAATTTTGGCGCTTTTTTCTTAAGTCATGGGCAATAACTTAAAAACTGTCCATCGAGAAATCGTCAAATTCAAACTAATCGAAGATCTCATTAATATAAATGATCACATTAAATTTCATTAAAATCAGATAATTACAGTAGTCTCCATTGTGTTCACTACCATATATTTTAACGCGTTTATCCTAAGTCAAGGGCAATTACTCAAAAACCTTTCATCGAAAAATCATCAAATTCAATCTTGACCACATCAAGTTTCATTAAAATCAGATAAAAACTGAAGATAAAAAAATGTTGACGGACCGACGGCCTGGCTGACAGGGGCGACGGCAATATACGTCCACATTACCATGTGGGCGTATAAAAATCTTTCACAAAATATATGAACAAAATTTATGTAGCTATTTGAGACATGATCCAATCACCATTGACTTTTACCCAACTTTCAAATGACTTAACATCTTGATATAGAGATTTAGTCATCGAGACACTAAATTGAGTATCAACACGCTGTATAAAATTAAAATAATTCGCCCAGTCTTTACTTCCAATAACATCTCTTTCTCGATAATCGTTGACTGAAATCTGAAACAATATAAAGTTATAACATTTTGATTGGTCCACAGATTGGCCAAAATGATAAATCTTTCAAATGTTCGAGAAATATCCAGAATTTCTTATTCCTTGATATTAGTCAAAGCTATTATTGGGAATGGTACAACTTATCGTTGTCGCTATTCTTGTCAGATCATAGCATGTGTAAAATAACCCACGAAATAAACGAAACATCTCCTCATCAAATTGTGTTCTCTTTTGATTATACTTACCAGTTTTTCTCTAAACATTTTTGGTTTGAGATTAACATTCAAAATGGCGGCGAGTTCTGGAATGGTGATTTTGTCACCTGATACACGAACAGTTTTGTTGATGAATTTGTTTTTGTCTTGTAGCATAACTTTAATAACATCCCCTACATCTTCTATATCTATCATATCTATTGGTGTTAACCCCATTGGTATTTCTAAAATGAATTGCTATTATCAAATTGAGTAGCTTGTACAATACTATTAAAACAATTTTTACCATAGAGATATTGCCCGATCCTTTACATCTGAAAGAAATGGACTTCAAGAACAAACTTTACAGAATGTAAGTTCGACCAGAAAGGAAATCTTGAGTCAGGAACGCTTTCAAGAAAACGAATTGACATAATCAACAAAAACGTCGACTGTCACCAGTATGGACCAATGAAAAGCAACAAATTACTTACGAAATTGATATGTATTATTCTGAACCCTTTCAGGTTTAAATATAGTGAAAAAGTCTTGATAAAAGCAGGGCATCATAACACAACTTAATGGTAACTGTTTATCTTTCATATAATTTTCTATCTCAGCTTTTGTTACCATTGGTCTCACTTGTATCCCTTTTACTTTCTGGGTATGAATTTGAGTACTGAATATTACATGGTTTACATTTGACATTGAACATGCATCAGCTATAAGTCGGCCCTGTTTAATCTCATTATCAACACAGTACGGGTCACTCGCTCTTGTTTCTGTTACAATAAAACACTCATCAACACTATTCAATGCGGTAATGACGTCATCGACATCTTGAAAAGAACATTCACAAAGTTCTACACCTTCGTTTTTCAGGTTAAGGGCCGTTTCAGACGTGACATCAGAGGTCACAGCACGAACGTGTAAATCTGTATCTTTCGCTAGTGTTCTTGCAACAGCTTCACCCAAAGGAATTGTAGTATTGAATACAGCAACAATTCTTTTATCACACATTCTGTAAAGATTACGTATACAAGAAAATTAAAGAACAGATAAGGCACACTCTAAATGAATATCAACTTTTACATAACATAATGTGTATAAGTGGGGTCAAACGAAAATACACTCATAGGACAGCCATAAGAGTGGTAGTACGACACTGTGAATTGAACATCCCGGTGTCGCATCTTCATTTTGAAAAGTTTATCCTGCAACACCACAAAAATTGTAGCGGTTCGCCACTCAGTGGCCACAGACCATTGTTGAGTAAATACTTTCTATATACCGTACATACCGCTGATTTAATTGAATAAAAAATATCGTTTATTTATTATTTTCTTGAAGAACATTAATATGAAAAGACCATTTGTATAGTTTTTGACAATTCAATCCTGCAATGAACGCGTACAATGGTTGAAGTGAACTCTGAACAATTCTTAAGATATATACGGCGATGCTATTGATCTTGTAAATGAAACAGGGGGTACTTACATGCCATATAAGGTAAAAATTCCTGAAAATTTCAATAAAACATCCTTCTGAAACCAATACTCCTATCCCACGAGAAACAATTTTCGTAAAAGTTGGAAGGTAAAAAAGAACTATACTGAGTCAAGTATATTAATCTTAATCTAATCTTTGTTTCTCTTGACAACGGAAATACTCCTATTAACTTATTGTTTGATAAATCTTCTATATAATACAGATCGAATTTCCTTCTATTGATTAAATTACTTGATAACTGTATTACATGTACCATATATAAACTTAGACCACACATGAAAATATATGAGATAATTTATATCGTTAACAGGGCGAAAATGGGTTTAAGAATTTACCGATAGCAGGGTGAGGGGTGGGGTTGTTGAATGAGCTGAAATGTTTAAGAGGTTTCTGGTGGTTTAAGGGTACCTATTAAATTTAGAAATATTCGCAATGTAGACAAAACCACCAATGTCCAAGTTATCAAAAATATCCATGACCAAGTGCACTGTAGTGGAATCCGAAACTCTGACATTTACTGGCAAGTCGCCGTATCATTTTCGTGGAAGATGGGGAAGGCTGGTAATATTTAACGTTGTTATGGATCATGTTTATTTAATGTAGAGGTAGATCTTTAATCCATACCAAAGTTGTATACTTACTCTAGTGGAGGATCGTGTATGCTTACCCTATAGTGGAGGATCTTGATATCTTAAGTTAAGTATGCTTTTCCTAGGGGTAGTTCTAGTACTCCAAGTGGTTGGTTTTGTATCTTGTTTATTTACTTTAGTCGTTGGTCTTGTACATTTACTCTAGTAGCGGATCTTGTATACTTAGTCCACCTTGTATATTTACTCTGTTAAGTTATAGCCGATAACATACTTAGGCAACCGTGTATATGTACTCTAGTAAGTTATAGCCGATAACATACTTAGGCAACCTTGTATATGTACTCTAGTAAGTTATAGCCGATAACATACTTAGGCAACCTTGTATATGTACTCTAGTAAGTTATAGCCGATAACATACTTAGGCAACCTTGTATATGTACTCTAGTAAGTTATAGCCGATATAATACTTAGGCAACCTTGTATATATACTCTAGTAAGTTATAGCCGATAACATACTTAGGCAACCTTGTAAATGTACTCTAGTAAGTTATAGCCGATAACATACTTAGGCAACCTTGTATATATACTCTAGTAAGTTATATCCGATAACATACTTAGGCAACCTTGTATATTTACTCTAGTAAATTATAGCGGATAACATACTTAGGAAACCTTGTATATTTACTCTAGTAAGGGATAGCGGATAACATACTTAGGAAACCTTGTATATTTACTCTAGTCTAGTCCCCCCCCCCCCCCCCCAACTATTTTTTCCTGGGCAAAAAAAATTTTCATTCTATTCCCTTTATGTTCAGATCAAATCTATATGCTAAATTGAAATTGTGTAAAACTATATACTGTACATTTGAAGATTTGTGTTGAATAAACAAACTTGAAAAAAAAAATAAAATAAAATAAATTTAGAACACATTGTATATTTAATCTAGAAGCAGATAGCATATTTAGGCCACCGTGTATAATTACCCTAGTAGCAGATAGCATATTTAGAACACATTGTATATTTACTCTAGTAGCAGATAACATATTTAGAACACATTGTATATTTACAATAGAAGCAGATAGCATATTTAGAACACATTGTATATTTACTCTAGTAGCAGATAATATATTTAGAGCACATTGTATATTTACGCTAGAAGCAGATAGCATATTTAGAACACACTGTATATTTACGCTAGAAGCAGATAACATATTTAGAACGCTTTGTATATTTATGCTAGAAGCAGTAACATATTTAGAACACATTGTATATTTACTCTAGTAGCAGATAACATATTTAGAACACATTGTATATTTACGCTAGAAGCAGATAACATATTTAGAACACATTGTACATTTACCCTAGTAGCAGATAGCATATTTAGAACACATTGTACATTTACTCTAGTAGCAGATAACATATTTAGAACACATTGTATATTTAATCTAGAAGCAGATAGCATATTTAGAACACATTGTATATTTACGCTAGAAGCAGATAACATATTTAGGCCACCGTGTATAATTACCCGAGTAGCAGATAACATATTTAGAACACATGGTATATTTACGCTAGAAGCAGATAGCATATTTAGAACACACTGTATATTTACGCTAGAAGCAGATAACATATTTAGAACACATTGTATATTTACGCTAGAAGTAGATAACATATTTAGAACACACTGTATATTTACGCTAGAAGCAGATAACATATTTAGAACACATTGTATATTTACGCTAGTAGAAGATAACATATTCAAAACACATTGTATATTTACTTTAGAAGCAGATAACATATTTAGAACACATTGTATATTTACGCTAGTAGCAGATAACATATTTAGAACACATTATATATTTACTCTAGAAGCAGATAACATATTTAGAACAAATTGTATATTTACGCCAGTAGCAGATAACATATTTAGAACACATAGTATATTTACGCTAGTAGCCGATAACATATTTAGGTCACCTTTTATATTTACTCTAGTAGCAGATAACATATTTTGGTCACCTTGTATATTTACTCTAGTAGCAGATAACATATTTTGGTCACCTTGTATATTTACTCTAGTAGCAGATAACATATTTAGGTCAACTTGTATATTTACTCTAACATATTTAGGTCAACTTGTATATTTACTCTAGTAGCAGATAACATATTAGA